TTAAATAGAGTTCTGGCAACTTCTCCAATAAGAAACTCAAATTGTTTTTTTCTTGAGTTCTTGGATGATTTACTTGTCCTGAACATAAAATCAGGCTTTTGCCCAATTTTTGCCTGTTTTTTCATTCTAAATAAATAAGTTATATTTAAACTTGTAATCTAACAATATATTAAAAAAGGGCTCTAAACGTGCCACAGAATAGAACAACAAGTGGCTGAAATATTCTCTGCCACATAAAATTATATATAAAAAAAAGCTTTAAAAAGATACACTATAATATTTGCAATGTAAAATAGATCTAATTAAGTTAATAAAAGTAAAGAATGCCAATGGCATCCCATAGCAAGTTTTTATTAAAGGGTTATTTTTGTAAAAAAAAAAAAGTTATAATTTGTTCTTAAATACAAAAAATCAATTTACCTCTTCATTTTCTCCATTCAAATTTTCATTACAGTAAGCTTTTGAAGCTTTGAACTGTTTCTCTAAGCTAAAAAAAAGATTTTAATAAATAAAAGAATACAAATTTTTAATTTTAAAAAAACCTTACCAAAAAAGCCTTATATTTTTCAAATTTTTTCTTGCATCTTTTAGAGAAATTATGATTCTGTCTAAAGCCCACAGTTCTTCACTTATGGATTTATCTTTGAATTCATACTCCTCTCTGTCTTATAAGTTTTCACTATTTGCATATAAAAATTAATATATTTTTTTTTATTATTTCAACTATTTTTGATTTAGATAGATCAATAATATGCATGATTTTTTAAGTTCTGTGATATGTGCATTGATCTAAAAAATTGAAAACAACTATAATAATATAAAATATACTTACTAATGATCCTTAATAAGTGTCACTATATCATCTGTTAATATGTTTATTTCATTTTTGTTGTTTAAGTATTCACATGAGTTGAGAGCAATAAACTCCCATTCTCTTTTAGAGAACCTGTTTTTTAGCTACTCATGTGGCTCTGACGTGTCTATAATTGAAGACATTAAAGGATCATCATAGTTAAAGTCATCTATCTCTTCTAATTGAATGAGGCTTATTAGTTTGGTCCAAACTTCAATGGTTTTAACATTCCACTAAAATTTCATTATGGTTCAAAATAATTTTTGGTATAGCACCACCCAAAATTGGGCTGTGTTTGGCCATCTATTTCTATTTTTAGTATATTCTTTATTATTATTAGTCATGACAATAGGAATTATCTTTTATAGTTAGAATTAGTTAGTAAAAGTGAGAAGTAAGAAAAGTAAGGGAAGTAAGCAAAGTAAAGGGAAATAAGAGAAGTAAGCAAAGTAAGAGAGCAAATTGCTCACCTTTTAGTCTGTAAATTCCCTATATAAGGGCTTCTAACTCATCTTAAATAAAATATAACTCAGAGTTGGAATAACTCAGAAGAGTTCGACTCACGAAGAGTCTATTATCTATCCTTTAACATTTTGCTTAATTACCTCCCTGATAAGCCAAATTCACCTATCATGAATAGTTTAATTCTGTAATTCTGAATTAGAGCCTCGTGACGTAGTCTAGAGCTCTATTTGGCCCTAATAACTCGGACCAAGTCTTTCCACGCCTCCCTTCGTGCCTTCCACCATTGGGTCCAGATAGAGTTTGTGTAGTTTAGTGGTTTTAGTGTGTAGATTTGGATTAGTTTAGCCCTGTCGATATCCGTGAGGCTATATTTTGGCATTAGGGTTGATTTAGCCCCTCACAACGTACGTACGTAGATGCTAGCTGTCCTAAAAAAATTGGTCATCTCCTGAAGCATTGGCCAATCGAATTTCAAGATCAGATGTAACTTAAAAATCGAAGCAAACCACCTTTTTACAAAAAAAACAAAATTTTAATTATGAATCCACCTTTTGAGCCTAATTAAAATGTTTCTTATGAAATTTTACTATTAGCCTCAACCCTAACCCTACACGGTTCTCACCCTAACTCTAACTATGACTTGGTTTTATTTTTACACGTGACTTTTTACTTAGAAAACAAAACACGTTTGTTTGATTATCACGTTCATTAGTTGATATCAACCATATCGGTAAAATATTAGTATCTGATATATAGCTTATATGTAACCTAAAGCTAGCTTATATTGGCTTATTAAAAATTATAAAATATAGGTTACATATAAGCTACATATAAGTCATATATAAGTCACATATCAGATACTGAAATTTTATTAACATTTTTTATTTTAATTAGTGGTTGCACCTGATCTTAAATTTTGATTGGCCAAGATTACAGAGGTGGCCAATTTTTCGTGGGAACGCTACCAAAATTAGATACACGCGTAAGATATCGGTATATCCCAATAATTTGCTGTTATGTTACTGATATCATTCTACCTCCCGATATTTTACCAATATGCTACTGATATATAGAAGGCATTTGGTAAATCTATGGCAAACAGTGTTGGGCTCTGGACCAAAAGTCCGCTCTACTGGACTTATAAACTGGACCACTGGACTTATAAGTCTAGTGGACCATTTATAAGTTCCAGTTCAATTTTACTGGACTTATAAGCTAGCCCAACACTGATGGCAAACTATCGGGCACATATAAGGAAACTTGTATTCGTTGATTCAACCTGTGATTCTTGAGATAATATCTGTTTCTTTCCGAAAAATGTTCTAGTATTTTAGGCTATAGGAAGACGTTCAAGATTGGTTAATTTTTATTGATCTGCCCGTGATAATTAACCAATCAGATTAACAAATTCATAAGTAAACGATTCATTTATTTATTGTCGCGGATGATGGTGTAATCGGATGATCGTGAAATCTGGGGACTTAATTTAAAAATATAAACCCTACTAAAACCCACTTATACTCTTTTATTATAAACTCTAACCCTAAATCCTAGTAAAAAATATACCCTAAAAATGTTTAAAAATCGTATATTAAATAGGGGTTGATGTCACGATCATCCGCGACATTTATTAAGTAGGAATCCTATATTTAATTATCATTACCTTTGCTCAAGTTGCTATTACCCAAGATACATTATAAATTAAGCAGTTTCACATATATTTCTCTGGGTATTGCTTGTATTTGTACCCATCAAAAGGGAGGTTTCACTCTTTATTAATGTAAATTCTTAAACAATAACTCTACTTTTCAGCTAATACAACCGGTTTACCACCGTTTCGGTTTATATTATTAATTAATACTATATATACATATCTATACTAAAGCCATATTTATATTCGTCTACTTAATACACAATTTTAAAGTAATATATGTATTAAGATTATTAAAAAAGTATGTCGAAATAAGTTAAAACTTATAAGTTTTTTTTTAGAATCTAAATTTACCTTAAACCTCTTGATCGTTCATTTATTACTGTTTTTTTTTTTTTTGCATTCAGTACTTGTATATACCAATAAAGATAGAAACGAGATAGTTATAATAATAAATAACGAATATTCACTTCTAAGTGAAGTTCTTGAGGTTACTGATTATTTTTGATTATTTATGCACAGTGAATATAGACGTTCTCTCGAAGCTAGAAATTGCTTTTACGGTGACTTTTTGTTAGTGAAACGTGACGTTCTCAAAAGTACTTTAAATTGCATAAATAAGTTACCCGGGCAATTGAATTACATCAGCCAATCATACGAAGTCTTCCTATGGTATTTTAGATTAATCGAAAAGCATTGCACGAATGTTTCTTATAATTGTAATAGTCCGGTCTGATATACCGGAGTTGAACTTTATTTGATGGATGCAGATTATATTAGTTGCGAATTATGCGTTATTGAAATATTGAAACTGAAACGGGATATGCTCCCGGAAATAGCAAATAATATTGCGCCGGGAGATCACCGTAAGCAGTTGAGTTTGTGCGGCTTAGTGCTGGCCGGTAGTTTCCTGCATGCGTAACCGTTTATATAACATGAGATGTGATATTCAGTGGTTATAATTATGAAAATGGCAGGTTCATTTAGCTGTGATTTATCGTTACGTGGTATTGAAACTGAAACGGTATATACTCCCGGAAATAGCAATAACATTGCGCCGGGAGATAACCGTACGAAATATTCAACATTTCTGAAGTAATAGTAATTGAATTTAATATAATCTGAAGCGCAAAAATAGTAATATCGATATATATTATCTGCCATTAGAAGGATTGCACATTACGTAATCACTCAGTCAATTTTTACCAGATGAGACCTTGCAGATCATAATGTCGTGTGAAAATCAGTTTCAAATAAATATAGCTGATCGAAAATATGAATTAATAGATAATTTAAAATCTCAAATTTTCCTCGTTCATCATCACAAAAATCATGGGTCACATCTTTTTGCAAACCGCTATATTAATAATACCAGATTATTTGTGAAATTCGGATTAATAAAACCTTAATAAAACTAGATTATTTGTGAAAATGAATACTATCAGTAATTTATTGTCAAGCGAATGGTTTGCCTGAAAAGTGACAAAGTAATCGAATTTTTGAAGATGTGCCTATAAGGACCGGACTTGGAGACTATAGTTATAGATGAAACTGGTGTAAATTTAGTGAATACTAAGTAAAGTGATAAAATAAATAGACCAAGAGTTCACCTGCAACTCAATCTGTATGCGTAATTACTTTCTGTTCTGGTTTCACGTGATAAAGTTGCGCAGCTACTTTGTTAATTAATATTAATGTGTCTTTCATGTTAACAGGATTAATAACCACAATCCGGGTTGATTAAGTTTTGCAAGTTTCATTGGTTTTATTTAAATTCGAGTTGATCCGAATTTACAACCGTAAAAATCGGTTTTTTAAAATTCGGGCTGATTCGGTTTACGAGTTTATTAAATTCGCAAAATTGGGTTTATTTGAATTCGGTTTAAACCCAGTTTTGATTGGGTAAGATACTAACCGGTTCCAACTTATACTTCTAACCAATAAGAATGTGACAAATTTACATATGCACGTACGTCGTACGTATATATTAAGTCTTTGTAGATCAAAATTAAGTGTTTGATAAAATCAACGATGGTTGAACAAATTGAAATTAAGGAACCTACCAATTTCGATGAAAAAATTAATGATATAGTAAAAAATTACTCTGATAAAAACATTTATGTTTTGTTCTATGGTGAGATAAACCTTTCTTTCTTAAAATTACATTAGTCAACGTGTGAAATTAAAATTAAAGCATTTCGTGTCTATAGGAGATTGGTGTCCTGATTGTAGAAATGCTGACCCAATAATCAATAATTATGTCGGAAAGAAAGCTAACAATGTACTTATCAAGGCTTCTGTTGGTTCAAAAATAGAGTATGTTACGATTCATCTTGATTGTACGCAATTTTCTATTTTATTTTTTTTTTAAAAAAAAAATAATTTTCCAATATCACAAAAGTTATCAGTCTAGTCCGTATAAACGATACTCAAGAATTCAACTCCAAAGAATTCCCACATTGATCAAATGGTCTGCTAATCAAGAAAATGATAAACGTCTGGTAGAGAACCAGTGTGAGGATGAAAATTTGTTGACTGAATTTTTCTCTGATTAGTTTTCTTTATACTGTACTGCATGTGCAGTGTTGGCAATTTCTTGCCTTATTAATAAAAATACAAGTAATTTTATAATTTAAACCCCCTTATTTAAATGTAAAAATACCTTTATATTTGACCTATCATCTTTATAATCCGTACGGATTTATTTCGGTTTGCATAATTTTGTGAATTTTGAATGGTGGAACTTCATAAAGGAAAAGAAATCATTCGAATGTTAGGTGATTCTGATTTCTTAAAATTACTTCGATGTTTATCTAGAGCTTCGATCCTATTTTTTCATTACTATCCGTATTGAATTCGGATTCTCTTTCATGAATCCGATTATAATTCGAATTGAGTAGATTCGAATTTGATTCGAATTCAATGACCGGATAAGATAGCCACCTAAAAAAGTTTCGAAAATCAAGTGATATTGTCAATTCATCATGATTATGATCATGATGATTATATTTAATAAAGTATTAATTGATTCAGAAATGATTTTATGCGATTCTTCAAAATGTAAAACGATCGTTGTAATTTTAAAAACAAAAAATAACTCAATATTCTAAAAATACAAATTGTTCATCGTAACCAAAATTTCCACTAATGATAACGAAAAAAGAAATAAAATCATAAAAACTTGTCAGGCAAATGTAATTACACCAGAAAATCTTATAGATTTTATTTTGAATGCTCTTCCCGAAGACTATAACTGATTACTTATTTGAGCAAAAAGTTTCATAATTCTGAATCCAGAATGCAACAAAAAAATTACTGAAGAAAGCACGATAAATCCAAATACGGTAGTAACAAATGGATTGATCATAAAAATTTTGTGCCATTGCATAAATTGGAGGAGGATTATAATCCTTTTAAAAGGCAATGGAATATTCTAAATGCTAGAAATATCGTAATAATAGTACTTTATGACTGTAATAAATATTACATTTATTGAGTTTATTTGAAACAATAAAATGATTAATTTATTGCTTATCGTTATTATTTTAGTCTTTAAATTTTTTTGTTTGTCAAGTTAAATGACTTTTTTGGCGCTCAACATATTTATCACGTGATGATCGAAACTTTTCGGGCCATTTTACCCGGTCGAATATTCATATCATTGATTGACCAATCAAAATTGCGAATTTTGAAGAAGGTAGAAAAATTTTTTTTAATATACATATTTATTGTTATTACTAAATGTTAGGCCCGTCATTAAACGACGGGTTAGATTTAACATCTCTATTACCAGTGTTTGGCAATATGGACATTTGGACTTATTAAAAATAATATGGACAAATATGGACATAGTAATTTATGGACATG